AAAGGTCCCGTATGCTGAAAGCACGAGCCAAAGCTAGTCTGTCATGCGCTGCGGAGAGGGCCGGGTGGGTGCGGGCAGATGCTGCCATTGTTCTTTTTCTGTGTGTTCTCATCTTTGCCTGTATTGTCCTTCGTCACTCATCGTGGTGATCCTCTCTTTCTTTGACTTCCACCTGGTTCTGTTCCGCGTCCTTCTCACTTTGCTCCTCCTCCTCTCCTCCTCGTCCTCCTCCTCGTCTTATGGTAGACGTCGGTGTCGTGGACTCTGTTTTTGTTGTTGTGGTGGTGGCGGTGGCGGTGGTGGCGCACAATCTCTAACAGAAGCAAAGTTCATCAACACGAGCAACATCAAAATCCGCGCTGTCAGGGCACTCCCAAGGCTCCCTGCTCAATGCCGGCAGAATTCAGAAATGCACTTCGCATAACATTCTTCGGAAAGCCAGATTTTGAGCTGACTGCATCATACTGATGCACACAGTATTGGATGTTTCTTTGCAGGTGTGTTGGCTTGGAATTTGCCTATGTATGACTATGGATGGTCTGAACCAGGGCTTTATCAGATCAGGCTTCATTGGGCGCGGCAGAGAAGGTGCTGGTGGAGGTCGCTGGCGAATAGCCGCCTATGCCTCAGCCAGTAGGTGGCTTTGCAAGCTGCCTTCGCAGAATCTGCATCCATCGCCATCGGATTTGACAGTCTCCATCTTAACCGGTGCCTCCCAGCTAAGCAGACTGCATGTCAGGCTGGCGCGCGCTTCGCCGCCACGTACCGCATTGAGGTGCGGATGCATTAGCTAGTCATGTACGCCCTGCACATTGTGTTTGCCTTTGGCACGCTGGTAAACCGCTTACAGTTGCAACTGCAGTGTGCCCCTGGCTGGACAGCCAGGTCTATCTTGGCCCGCCAATGCCTTCCTGTCGACCATATTTGTCGGACAAGGCCCAGTTTATCCCGTTCTTGCATTCACGTGCAACAGCGCCTTGACATCCTGCAATCACATGATACACATGGCGCCAAAGGCTAAATGTGCCAGTTGCAGGCCGTTTTAAGAAAGACTGCTGTAGCCGGAGTGTGCTATGTTGCATGCCTTCTAGGCTCAGGACAAAGCATGTCATAAGCGGGTTCCTCTGCGCCATGTATCGCACCATCATCTTGGCCGTTGCCACTGCGCCTCTTGTCGCCATTGCCGCAAATCTGTCTTGTCCGCCTGAAGGGTTTGACTCTATCTCTGGCTTTGATTTGGACGGCTTCATTTCAAAACGTTGGTATGTCCAGCAGCAGATGGAGACAAAGTACTTCCCTGCGTCCCAAAATCGCTGCGTCTACAACGAGTACAAGCAGCGGAAGAAGCGTGTGCTGGGCTACGAGCTTGTCGTCCACAACCATTTGCAAGACGTGAACCCCCCCAACAAGGTGCATGACTCGTCTATTGTCTGCGCAAAGATTGATGACAGGACACGTGGCAGGTTTCGGATGGCTCCATGCGTGATGCCCCCTGCAGCCGGTGCTCCATTCTGGGTTCTCGCCTATGACCCAGCTTCAGGATTTGCTTTGATATCAGGAGGAGCGCCAAAGATTGCCTCAGAGGGTGGTTGCAAGACAGGATCTGGTGCGAAAGATGCGGGCCTCTGGATCCTGACAAGCAAGCAACCCCGCGACGAAGACCTAGTTCAGAAAGTACGAGCGATCGCAGCCCAGAAAGGCTTCGATTTGTCGGTCTTGAACGACGTTGATCAGAGTGACTGCTCGAGCACGATGCCCGTGGACTTGCCCGTAGTTGTGTAAACATGTGTAAACCAGTGGATGGCGGCATCATCTAGTGAAGCCCGCAAGAAGCCGGCCTGGCGATGCAGAGATAGTTGCCATACTCTGTACAGGTTGCTTTGAGAATTGTTATTGCCGGTCAGTTGGGATTTCTAGGTCTCAACTGGCACTTCATGCAAGCACAGTGCTTTGTGCAGTCGTTGGGCTGCAAGTCAAAGTCTGGACTAAGTGCAGCTGCAGCAGCTGTTGCGCAACAGCTGGATCGGCGAAAGTGGGGGCGAGTTGATGTGTTTTGTTACTGATGTGTTGTGTTCCTGCTTGGAAGATGTTTGGGTTTTGGCATCGCAGGACTTCAACATTCTAGTGACAATTGGAGCGAATGTCTTAGCAGAGTGATGAACAGCATGGCTGGTAATCTTTTCTCTGCTGCAGGTGACGACGATTGCTCTGCAAGTGAATGTAGACGAACACGGTGCATACTGAGTACGTGGCATTAGCGAATCACAACAAGTGCACACGGGTGGATGCGTGGCTACTTGGCATCATCTTCTGGTGCAGAGTGAAACTGCAAAGCGTCAAAATCCGTTGACAGCCAGGAACAACAAATAGATCCGCCTGTCTACTGGTCAGTGCCCCAGAATACACGGCTTCGTAATCAGCACCACTTCTTCTGCGCGAATTTGGATTGACTGTTCAACAGTAATTATTGTCCATGCTCAAAAGGTGGTTCTGCAAGGATTATGGACATGAGCAGTCTCATGACAGGTGTTGCCAGTTTCCGCAGGGAACATGATTCCATATTTAGTGAGAATCCCTACATCGCCTGTCCAGCAGAAGTCTAGTTGGATTCATGGGCAGCAGCTTAGCATGAGGTGGGCGCCGCCCGTTTCAGAGCACACTGTCGAGTCCATGTCCGCGGTGATGCGCTCAGATGGCTTTGATAAGTATTCTTCTGGGCTCCATAGACAATTAAGGCTTTGCATTGTCTCGGAAGTTCACCGGAGAGCTTGTTCTGAAGTTACTGTGTTTCAGTTATTGCTTGGGTGACTATTCCAAAAGCGGGCATTGACAGAAGAATTTGGCGCAACAGGGCGCGAGAGTCATACATTTTTTGGGTTGTGAACAGCCGCCCTATAAGAAAGCACCTTCTTATGATGGTGTATCGTTCTGCTCTAATCAATCTCATCTAGGATACATGCTGGATGTTGCATCTTCACATAAGGTAGGGAAGACAAGGTTTTGGTCCCTTTACCAGCAGATCTTTCACTGATAGTGCTATCCGGATTTCGAACACTGTCGATGACATGCTCACATGGCTGCTAGCTGCAAAGCATAGGGTTTATGGCAAGATGCGACTCATGCTGCACAAGGGGCCTCTGGCACACGTTTTGCTGCATCTTTGATGCACAGGCAACTTGTTCGCTGAGAATTCTAGGAATGCCCAAGCGCCGGGAAGTCAAGTATGTTGTGCCCACGCAATATGCTATCTGACTTCCGGTATCATCTGCCGCACTCATCTAGAACAGGTGTAAGTCGCAGCAGATAGGTTGCAGCCCCCAACTGTCAAGCCCCCTGCAAAGGTTGTGCAATATGCGGCGTGGTCGTCCGGCCCTTATGCTTCCGACTTGAAACAATGCAGGCTGCGCCAGCTTTGTGCACGTTCAGAGCATCCGGCTGAAACCCTCTCAGTCAACTACGCCTGCTGTACGTAAACCGCGAGAACTACTGGTGGGGGCAGCAAGCTCAGGCCAGCTGCGAGAGACAGCAGTAGAGATCAGGGCTGACCTGGTGGCATTGAAGATTTCGAGCGGAGACTCCGAGTTTGCTGCCTGTGTCTGAAAGCAGTGTTTTGGTAGCAAAATTAGATCCTACCGAAGGTTCAGGCCAGCAGCTGCTGGTTGGACATGATGCAGGCGGCCCGAAAAGATGGAAGCACGTCTCATCTGTTGCTGCCTGGAAAATCCGTGGGACTCTTGGGAAGCTTGTGCAGGCGGCAGTCCACACTGCCTCACTGGCTCCAGCAGCTGGCCCCGAGAGGAAAATCTGAGGGCAACCACTGCGCAAGAGAGTCTCCAGTTGCTCTCAGTGAAAAGCAGATCAGCTTGCATCAACGTGACAAAGTGCTTCCTGTAATTTTCCCAGTTTCATGAAGAGCTGCATGTTTGCGAGCAGACGTCCTTTGCAGTTGGACTGTCACATCTCCAGCATTCGCGTGGGCGACATTCACAGGATGGGGCTGCCCCCCTCGCCTGAAAATCCACGCGGGCTGTGGTGACTTGGCTGGGAAGGGCTTTGTGAACTCGTGGAATTGTAGGTCAGTGAGCTTGGTCCATGGCCATTGCTTCCTTTGGAAGAAGGGGTTTGACACCGTACAAGTACACGGCCGAAAGCAAGCGATGTGAGGCTTGAGTTCGGCGTCGGCTCCGGAAAGACCACGGCTGTCGCTGGCTTAGGCTCCAGTAATCCTACGGATGGCGGCTGATGTCGTATGGCTGTTGAGCGACGTGGTCGTGTACTGGGATTGGACGCAAGCGATTTATGCTAAGGCAATTGGCTTCCAGATGAAGCTCATGATGGGCGAGGCGATGTGTTGTTTTCATCACTTTATGCCAACTTTATCTCGAGAAGTGTTCAGCCTTCTTCGGGTGATCACGTGCGGTTATTCAGCTTTTCAGCTTGTGGGCCTGGACCGGCTGTCCAGGCAGCCACACTGCACGGCTTCGATTCTTTCCAGGCATGACCAGTGTGTTGGGCCTTGGTGTCTTTGGCGCCTGTCTTCCTGCTCTGCTTGTTTTATTGTAAAACCTTTGCTGTTGCTGATTAACGCAGAGAATTGTAAGCTTTCCAACACGGGAACTATGGCAGTCATGGCTTGGACCTTTCGATTTTTCTGCTTCAGCCTCTATCGTGCGCAGGGCTTGCCCTCGGATTGGGACCACACGCACTTGGCCGCTGGCACCTTCACGAGAGGTGGCGAGGCGGGGCATCGCAAATGACGGGCCCTTCGCATTGCAGGGTGCAAAGTCTGTAGGTTGCAGGAGCACATGCAGCTTGGGTTGCACAGCGGTGGATGAGCTAATCCTGCAATTGACATCCTTCAATCAAAATGAAATGGCCATCCGCGAGCTGCTTCCATGATGTGCTTTCGCAGGAATTGCCAGGGCATGGCTGAATTGCGCTTACATGGCATGACGCAAGAAACCCTTCCTTTCCGGGAGGTTCCCGAGCACCTTCTGGAGATGCCAAATGCCATTGTCTCTGCCAATTGAGACTTTGCCATTGTCCACCTATCCGCATACTGCATCCTAGGTCAAGATTCATGTGGGCTTGTTCAGCGACACGTTGCGCCAGAAGCCTGGATAGTGGCTCCGGATCACAACTTTCAGTTGTCGAGAATCGTGAGCTTATGTCCTGACGCGCAATGTTGTAGGCGATCTGGACCAGTATGGCGACACGTCGGAAGCCTGGTATTCTGCATGAGCATGAGCATGTGCAGAAGCATTGGGCATGTGTGTTCTAGTCTTTCCTACCCAGGCCAGTAGCGTTTGCCCACATCGATGTTGACATCTTTCCATCCGCAGTCGAGGCCACCGGTCTCTTCATGTGCAGAGGTCCTCATGCGTGCTGGTCAGCGTTTGATCTCTCGAGGCTTTACAGGTAGCTGGAGTGTAGTGAAATGATATCTAATATCATACACTCATTCCAGTGACCTCAAGGTCCTCTCGAGGATAGCCTGCCAGCTTTGGCCGGGCTCAGTGCTTGTCTATGATGTGAGGAACTCAGCCGCTTCTGCATTTTTTGTTGCCGCGGAAAGCCACCCAACACTACGAACCACAAGGAGTTGGTGAACTACATCGGCTTCGAGCTGTCGGGGGAGTACCGCGCATGGGAGCTGGGATCTCAGGTACCGGGTGCCATGGGGCTGCTTTGAATGAATCCTACTCTCTCTGAAGCCGCACAGCCCAGGTATGTGGCCTCGGCGTACGGCATAGGCCAGCGAAGCATCTCCATATCACTTAGCATTGGTTGGCGGGAAGAGGGTGGAGTCGCTGTGGGGGAAAAATATAGCAGAGGTTGAAGCCAGTCCTCAAGACGAGATAAGGGAAGGTTTGTGTGCATCTCTGCGCCTCACAGTCCCGTCGCAGGCTGGCAGTATGCCGGCATCTACTGGCAGCAGGACCTCGAAGTAACGGCTGTTCAGCCGTCGCCATTCAGCTTGTGATGTTTTTTCAGCAGCCTGCAGGCTGTCCCTATGATCATCACGGAGAGAGGGCGGAACTGCTGATGGCGCATGTGTGTCACACCTGCGGGGCAGCTTCTAGCATCCTGCAAGAGCGGTCAAAATCATCCTGACTGAGCTGTTTGTGAAACCTCGATATCATAACTGCTCCGCCGACTTGCAACAAGAAGCGCCTTAAAAAGGGCTAGCAAGTACTTCGTGCCAGCTATACTCGGTCCATTGGCGTGCATTTTCGCATGTTTGTTGGCTTCATGGACACGTGCTGAACTGAAGAGACGCTGCTGGTCTCAGTCTCTGGGATTGTTTGGCTTTAGCGTTTTTGAGAAGCTTGTGTAGAGACTCTCTTGACACATGAGTAGTTCGTAAAATTATGGGCCCCTTTTGGTTGCAGATTATATTACAACACCTAATATTTAGGGGCGCTAGGACCCTAATCTTGAGAGCTACCCTTCCCATTAAGACTACTATTACTATGCACTGAGCTTCTCGCGCCTGAGCAGGTGGAGCACCTGGTGATGCGCTCCATGTGTGCTGAGCTGATCCGCGGACAGATTGATGAGGCAGCAGGAAGCTACATGGGACCATAGTGTAATTTCCTGAAAGGGGGTACTATATAGGGGACTATATAGTGGAGTCTTACAGGGGTTGTAAGGGGGTACTAGGAGTTTACACTATAGCTCACATGGGACCATGGAGCATGGCAAGCGAGAGCAATGACCTGACAATTGCCAAGAAGCTATGCTGCAGACGCGGATAACTTTTCAGGGGGTCCTGATGATGGCCTGTGGTTTGGTTGCACTGTCTAGCCGGGTGCGGGCATAGACAGTGCCACACGCATCAGTGACGGAGGGGCCACGTAATTTCACCGGCGCTGCGAAGGGAGCCAACTTTGGAGTGCAGGAAGGGGGCTCGCACCCCTTCCCCTTTGCAGCAAATTAGGGATTATCCCAATATAACCCTACCTAACATAGTAGTTTCCATGTTCTTTTCCATTATTCCCAATATAACCCCAATATTACTCCAATGTTTTAGAAAGCAAGAACACAAGATCTCTGTCCTCACCGGTCCCGACCATGGAGGCGCTCGGGCTTGGAGCACCTCCCTGGCGCTGCTTGCGAGTAGCGCATGGTCCACGTCTATAATAGAGTTTTCATATGGGGGTTTCCCAAAATTAGGGGCACCATTTTGGGGGTCCCCAAAATAAGGATTACAGTATATTGGGGTCACCCTTGGGGAAAATACCATATTGGTAGAAGGAAGGAAAAAAGACAGACAAACAAAAAATGGTGGTCAGCGAGCGCACGCTGCATGTAGAACAAGAAGACAAGAGGCAGCGTATTTGGATTTGCAACCCCGACAAAGGGCCATCATTGTACCGGGTCCTCCTGCATGCGATTTCCTTCATCAGGAGTTCCAGGGTAGAAAGCCTGGATCTGACAATTTTCACAGTTGGCATAAATACTCGAGCCAACAGGTATCAGCGGCTGTATGCGTGCAATGGTAACCTGCCAGCAATAAAAGAACACAATCTAGCAATGCCAAGTTTTGTTCGCTGCAGAAGCAGGGACACAGATCAAGATGTAATTTGCGATCGATCTCGTATAAGCGTCCCTGACAGGTGAGTGAGATGGTCACGGTCACTTGGGTGAAGCCACGAATCCTGGACCCTGCCCCTTGGCTGCGGATCTGGCTCAAAAGGGTGGATTGGAGAGTGAAAGTAGGGAATCCTGCCTTGGGAGATCATGGGAGCCAAAAATCATCTAGGTGGGGCTGGGATCAGAACTTCTGTGGGGACAGTCTGCGTTTGCTGTACACGCGCACAGTGTGTGGTGTCTGAACAGCGCGTCTTGGAGTTGGGGCTATTTCGGACTATCGCCCAGCAGTGAGGAGTGGCTTGATGAATTGGTGCCTTACCTAATGGGGGTGTCCCAAAACCAAGAGTACTATAGTTTTTTGGGGTGTATCCCGCTATTTTGGGATAATGACAAATCCTGTCCAGACATGCTCTTTCAGCTTACTTGGCTAGAATCAGTAACTGCAAGCCTTCAACAAATGAAAGACCCGAAGACTTGCGCCATTTGCATGAAGGTGTCATGTGCAGTTAAATCTGCGGGCCAGGTTCGATTGTCACACTTGCGCGAGTCCCAAAAGGTCCCAAAGGCTTTGGAAAGAAGCAGGGTTTGTGCAAGAGGCATTCGTCTTATCCTTGAATGCTTACAGGACTGCGCTGTGCAAGATAATCTGTTGGGCAATATCCTTACTGGTTCTTAGTGGGGAATATGGGAATATCATTCCTATATGAGCAACTGTGAATACTCGTTTATAAGGAATTTAATCGCCGCTGGACATGGAAGGCCAAAACCCTGCAAAGCGACGGGAACA